TGTCCTCAAATGAAATAGTCATGTTGAAAAAAATCATTAATCTTAAAGTGGTGATGGATAAAAAGAACTTAGTTTGTTTTCAGTACTTCTCAAAGGTTAGGTCAGCAATGGTTTATGTCATGACACTGATAAATTTTTCTAGTGACCAGAATGGTTTGATTTATAATAGTTTTTTTGTTTTAAGACTTGTATATCTTGGGTATCTGACTTCACCCAAAAGAGGTATTTTTCTATTTTGCATTGTTTCTCTTTAGCAATATAGAGACAAAATTATAGAGCAATAAGTAAATTTGGGGAAAACTGAAATATGCATTTTAAAGAGCTTTCCATGAAAACTTAAAAGCAGAATTGTAGAAAACTAGGCAAAGAGATGAGAGGGGAAATGGGTAGAAATTATTCTGGCTTAAAGTAATTAAGAGGATAAATATTTCTAGATGCTGTTTAATATATTAATTGAAAAGTTAGGGAAGGTATAAAATCAGACAAAAGGCATATAGACAGATCTCCTAATCTCAAGAATAAGCTGTTTTTGAAAATTTTGAATATAATGCCCAGTAAACCAAGGATCAAGATAATTGTTTTGCTGGAGGATCTTTTAGTTGAAACTCAATAAAAAAGAATAATAAAAATATCAGTTTTAATGTTATCAGAAATAGGCTATTTTGATTAGTAATCAGCCTTTTCCTCAAGGTTAGGATAATATTTTTTTTTGTTTTAATTTCACCTCCCATAGTTAGATTTCTTTTATCACATATTTGATCCCTTTTACCCCATCTACCTCCTCCCTCCCCCCTACTCTCTCGTAACCATTAGTCTGTTGTCCATGTCCATGAGTGTCTGTCCTGTTCGTTTGTTGCTCTTAGATTTATGTCTCACATATAAGTGATGTCATGTGATTTTCTACTTTTTCTGTCTGGCTTATTTTGCTTGGCATGATTATCTCGAGGGCCATCCATGTTGTTGCAAATGGCAATATTTCATCTCTTCTTATGGCTGAGTAATATTCCATTGTATATATGTACCACAGCTTCTTTAGCCAATCATCTGTCGTAGGACACTTCGGTTGCTTCCATGTCTTGGCCACTGTGAATAATGCTGCTATGAACATCAGTGTGCAAATATCTTTTCAGATACGGATTTTTAAGTCTTTTGGGTAAATACCCAGTAGAAGGATTGCTGGATCATATGGTAGATCAATTCTTAGTTTTTTGAGGAACCTATATAATGTTTTCCAGAGTGGCTGTATCAATTTGCAGTCCCACCAGCAGTGTGTGAGGATTCCTTTTTCTCCGCATCTTCTCCAACATTTGTTGTTACTTGTCCTGTTGATAACAGCTATTCGAACATGTGTGAGATGGTATCTCATTGTGGTTTTGATTTGCATTTCACTTTTCATATGTTTGTTGGCCATTTGTATGTTTTCTTGGGAGAAGTGTTTGTTCAGGTCCTCTACCCATTTTTTGTTTGGATTGTTTGGTTTTTTGTTGTTAATGAGTTGTATGAGTTCTTTGTATAATTTGGATATTATGCCCTTATCGGAGGCATTGCTTACAAATGTATTTTTCCATTCAGATGATTGTCTCTTTACCTTATTAAAGGTTTCTTTTGTTATGCAGAAGCTTTTTAGTTTGATGTAGTCTCATTCATTTATTTTTGCTTTTACTTCCCTTGCCTTTGAGGTCAAATTCATAAAATCCTCTAAGTCCAAGGTTCTTGAGTTTAGTTCTTATGTTTTCCTCTATGCAATTTATTGTTTCAGGTTTTATATTCAATCTTGAATCCATTTTGAGTTAATTTTGGTGTGTTATGATAGACAACAGTCTAGTTTCATTTTTTCGCAGGTGGCTTTCCAGTTTTCCCAGCACCATTTATTGAAGAGGCTTTCCTTTCTCCATTGTATGTTTTTGGCTTTTTTGTCGAAAATTATTTGCCCATATAAACATGCGTTTACTTTTGGACTTTTGATTCTATTCCTCTGGTCCGTATGTGTTTTTCTGTCAATACCATGCTGTTTTGATTATTGTTGCTTTGTAGTATAATTTAAAGTTCTCATTCTTTTTTCTCAGGATGGCTTTGGCAATTCGGGGTCTTTTGAAGGTTAGGCAAATCTAGATTTCTTATTTTCCCATGATTTCAGTTCTTTCACTCTTCTTTTCAAAATACTTTTAAGGTCATACTCAATTATGATAATGGACTTAAAGGGAGTTCGAAAGCCATTTATAAAGAGTGGCTGAACTGGTTCCCTCAGTGCCATTTTTATTGACTTAATTGTAGTTCTTTAGAAAAATAAGAACTATTTAAATTAAAATTTTCTCTAAAATTACATAGGAGAAAGAATTGTAAGCAAATACATTGCTAATAGTGGTTGTATTTGTGATATAGTTTTGAATATTTTCACTTCTCCAAGTTTATTTGTAATGTGATTTATATTTGTTTATAATACCAGTAGCCAAATTATTTTTTAAAAGTAATGCTCCTGATAAGCATCTGTCTTGAAATTTTCTAAAGTTGGCTTATTTAAACTGGTATCTCCTGGATTTTTTAAATAGAAATTT